AGCTCCAGTCTAGGTAGGGCTACCAGACGGAGGTAGCTTCCAATTTTAGTTATTCTTACCAAGTGCTTTTTTGTTGTTTCTAAGCTATTAAAATACTGCATGCGCTATTAGCACTCTCTACACTTGGTGCCCTAGGGCAAAGCCCAAGTCATTCCCAGTCTAGCCGTGGCTCTGCCTCAATCATCCTGGTGGAGGGTGCTCTACCCTGAACAAAACTGATTTAGCTTTGATCTGAGTCCATAGAGAAGGCTAGATCTGCCAGGTTAAGGGCATCGCGCCAGTGAACTGGAATCATGCCCACTAACCCCTGGCAGAGGGTCTAGGTAGCTGGCTGTTACTCAGCATCAACACAGGTAGAGAGCTATTTTTGGGGTAGTGGCTGATATACTGGCAACAACCAGGTCATCTATCTGAGCTGAATCCAGGCTGACGAGCTCCATCCCAGGCTGCTCACCACTGAGCCATTCAGACAAGCTACTCTGGACAGAGGGCAAAGCACACAGACCCAGATGAGCGGGGAAAGCTGGTGATAGCTTTCTTCAAGCGTTTCCTAACAGTCGTATAGATTTACAGAGCACTTTATGTATATTATCCTACCTAATCTTAAAACAACCTTGTAAAGTAGTTGCTATTATTACCCTCATTTTATAGATAAGGTAACTCCAACAGTATGCCTGGTGAAAGGCACATAGTAGGCCCAAAGATCATGCAGTTCCTAAGTATCTGAGGTAGGATTTGAACTATCTGAACTCAGGTCTTTCTTTTGTCACAATCATCATTCCATTCACTGGGCAACAGCCTGAAGGCCACTGGATCTGGGCTTCCCACAACCACAGGAGGACTAACTGTACTAGATTTCTCCCTCCCCCGGCTCTTGGACACATGTCGCATTGCCCAAAGTGTCTGTGAATGCCACAATGTCTCCAGGCTGTGGACTGTGGGTTTCCACTGCATTTTCAGGAAGAGTTATAGGTGGGGGTGAGGGGAAGCAGCCTACCTTGCGGCAGCAGGAAGCATGCCAATATGTTCCAATGCCCTCTAGTGAGATACTGCCAGGCTAAGTGGCAACATCCCAGCACCTAGGCTGGGCCACCCTGCCAGCTGAAGTGCTCAAGCCAGCCCTAGAGGAAGCTGACACGCTATCAAAGCTCTAACCAGGTCGGGGTGGTTGGAGAATCACAGAATCGTACATTAGAGCCAGAAGGGACCTCAAAGATCACCTACTCCACGCCCCACCCTGTTTTACAGATTAGGCTACTGGGCCTAGAAGTTAAATGACTTGCCCAAAGTCATATGGGTGCTAAGTGACAGAGGCAAATCTTGAACCCAGGTCCTCTGTGTCCACTGTACCATGCTGCCCCAGGGGGTCAAGCTTAGGAAGCCCAATTTAGAGAGTGCAGCAGTGTAGAAACAACAGGGCCTAATTAGTAAGAACAACTAGTTAAAATTGAAAGCTACCAGAAAATGGGTACAGGGGGTAGGGAATCTGTGGCCTGGAGGTTACATGTGGCCCTCTAGGTCCTCAAATGTGGTCCTTTGACTGAATCCAAACTTCACAGAGCAAATCCCCTTAATAAAAGGATTTGTCTCTAAAACTTGGACTCAGTCAAAAGGCCAGACTTGAGGACCTAGAGGGCCACATGCGGCCTCGAGGCCAAAGGTTCCCTACCCCTGGGTTAGGCGAACTCCTCACCTGTTCTACCCTTGTCCTTCCCTCTCTGTTAAGGGCAAGCTTCCTGAAGCTAGAGGCCACAGAAGTTCTTCATCTGTGTTAAGGGTCCTGGGTACAAAATTTTTTTGCTAGTTTAAAATTCTATAGTGAGTTTGAGCCATGCCACCAAGCAGTCATATGACCTTGGGCCAATTACTTTTCCTCAAGTCTCAACTTCCTCATTTGTAAAATGGGGCTGTGAATCCCTGCTATAATGTCTATATCCTAGGGTTGTTGCAAGAACTAAAAGAGATAATGTGTACTGCAAAGGAGATGCAGAGTGTTGGCATTAGCACTTCCTAATTTTACTTAGGTTATCCCAATCTCTATCAGGTACCCTGAATGTTTCCCATCCTCTCCCCTCAGCAGAGTCCCCTTTTTCTCTGGCCAGAGCAAGAAGACTTAAATTATCATAGCTACTCACCAGAGGTTTCCCCTTCTTGGCCTTGATCTTGTATTAGAAGATGTATATGGTTATGGAGTAAGGTAGGAGAGGAATTAGCTGAGTTGGGTGAGGTTTAGGAATCAGGAGGAGCCATGGACACAGTTTTTAAAATTTTAACTTAAAAATTTTTTAATTAGCAATTAATTTTCTTTTAGTTAACAAATCACAATTCACTATTATCAGGTAAAAAGGGTTGTTTTCAGGGAAGAGAGTCAGACTCTGAACTCTCCAGATGAGGGCCTACTTCTTAGGTGATTATATTCTCTTGCTCTCTTTCCACTCCAGAGTTAGGGCAGTAGAAACTTGGGAGACCCAAAGTGCATCCCATCCATGACAGATTGTAAAAAAAAAAAAAAGGCCACTTCCTTGCCAACTTCTGCAAAAGCCCAAGTGAGAACATTTCCCAGAAGCGGGAAACAATAAAAACTAGTGTTTACATAGAACTTGAAATTTTACAAATTGCTTCCCATAAACTATCTCATTTGAATCTCACAACAGCCCTGTGAGGTAAGTGCTATTATTATCCCATTTTGTAAATGAGGGAACTGAGGCTAACACAGCTTAAGAGACTTGCATAGGATCACCCAGCTAATAAATGTCAGAGGTTGTATTCGAATCTACGTCAGCTAGGTGGCACGGTGGAAAGAGAGATGGACTTGGTGTCTGAAAGATCTGATTTCAAATATCCCCTCAGACATTTACTATCTGTGTGACCCTGGGCAAGCCACCTCGGCTCTCTCAGCCTCAGTTTTCTGATCTGTAAAATAGGAGGACAATAATAGCACCTACCTCACAGGATTGTTTCTGAGGAGCAAATGACATAGCATATGGTTTGCAAGTCTTAAAGAGCAGTATAAATTATTATTAGTAGTATTAGCACCAGATCAGGCACTTACTCCAGGTTGACATGCTGCCTCAAAATAGGAAGGTCAACCTCATACTCTTCCTGCACTCTCATAACTCCCTTATCCTCCTTGCTTATCTTATGCATCCATTTCACAGATGGATAACTGAAGGGGCAGGGAGCAGCTGTAGAATCGAGGCCCAGCCCAGCCCACTTCCCTGAAATGCACAGGTATCCCAGAGCTTCCCCTGACACACAGTTGGACCTGGGGAATGGGAGAGGTGCTTCCTCACTTTCACAATGTCCTCAACCTCCACCTCCAAAAAATTGTCCTGAGGGGCCAAGGACAACAGAAAGTCTGCCCGGGAAAATCCCCATGGGGTGGGGACCTTTCCTTCTTTCTTGGGTGACTCCCATATCCTTCTCTAGTTTTCTTGTGCCAGCTCCTTCGGGGAGCAGTAAAAGAGGGAGAAAAGTCCTTCAAATTTTCCAAGCAGGAAGCAGAGCAGCAGGGGATTGGAGGAGGGAAGCTATCTACCCAACTTCGAGGAAGCTAAGTCTCCCAGGGGTGGGGAACCTGTGGCCTCCAGGCTGCAAGTTCCCCACCCCTTGGGCCTAGCCCATTCCTAGGCCAGGCAGGACTGTTCTGTATAGACTCAGGGGCCTGACCCAGACCCCCAGAGACCAGCAGGAAGAAGGCTGGATAGCTCCCTGGCAGGTTCAGCCGGAAAAGGAAGAGGAGGAAAAACGGAGTTCAGGGAAAAACCTGTTTTCGGCCTTGGCAGAACTCGGTGTCCAGGGCTCTACCAATTCAGGCTCATTCTTCCTTTAAGGACATAGGGCACCTGGCCCCTTTCAGAGCACCCTGAGAGCTATGTGGGTGGGGACTGAATTCAACGCGGCCCCTAGACCCCTTGCTTTCAACTCATTGCTGTAATTCAGGAGCAAGCGGGGCCAGCAATAGCATTTTAAAGGTTTTCAGGTATTTTAACCTCCTCTTGCCTTATCCTGCAGGATTAAGGACTTCACAGCTCTGCCTCCCCTATGCCTAGCAGGTTGGTTTCCTTCATCTGAGACCGAACTCTCACTGTCCTCAAAGAATCGGCTCTTGTCTCTCCTCAACTATCCCTGACTCTTCCTTCTTCTCCTTGCTCGCTTCTCTGCCTCATCTCTATTTCCCAGCTTACCATTTGTGTGACCTGGGAAAGCCCGTCAACCTAAATGAGCCTCAGTTTCCTTATCTGTTAAATGGGAATATTATGTAATATTTTACAGAGCTATTGCGAGGAGAGAACTTTGCAAACTTTAGCCATGTGGGCTAGTATTATCATTCTGATCTCAACTTTTCTCCCAAGCACAATGCCTCGAATATATGTTTTTTAAAGAATATGACCTGTGATTTCCTGGGCAGAGGAAGCATCTGGTAAGTTTCTCTACTACGGTAAGTGCACACCTCATCTTCGAGAGTGCTCGGAGCACTCAGGTTTAAGTGACTTGCCCAGGGTCAGAGAGCCAAGCTGTGTCAAAGGCAGGACTAGAACCTTGGTCTTTATCAATCCAAGGCCAGCACTCTCTAGCCCCTACGCCACGCCTCCAATCACCTGGAACATACGCAGCACCTGCTGAACAATGTTCGATGAATATAAATTTTATCTTTTCTCCCTCTCTAAACGGATCTCCCTGTCTCGCTGCTCTTCTCCTTTCCCCACTCTTCCCACTTCTTTTTCTCTACGTCTAACCCTACAATGTCCTCCTCCCAGGGCCCAGCATGGCAGTGTAGCTGGGCCCCGGGGTGCAGGAGGCATGGGCGAAAGCTGGGGAGCTGCTCCCACCAGCTCCAGCAGGTGCCCGCCCCGGGAACTAGGGGCAGCCTGGTGGCGCAGCGAGGTGGTCCGGCCACCTGGGAGAGGACTGAGTAGGACTCATTTCCCCAGGTAAGCGAGCGGGAGGCATCGGTGCATCAGCACAAAACCCTGTACCGCGCCAGGTGCCCTCCTTACCGGTGCTTGGTGAGCCTGGAGGAGTCCGACCTGCTGCAGAGACAAGGAGGCTGGAATCGTTCCCTGCGCTCATCTCTGGCGTTATAAGAGTCACAGACTCCCCCCGCCCCCTCCAGCTTCCCGCCACCCACCGGAAAGTGGCAGGAGGAGGGGATAGGGAGGCGGTGCCCGACGTAGAAGTGGCGCACACCCCAGGCCCCGCCCCTACCCATTCATTCACAGCTTTCCCCACCTCGGCTCTCCTTGGATGCTTACAAGCGTATACGCTGGGCACCGCGACCTCTCGGGGCCGCCACGACCTCCTGGCCTCCAGGGACCAGTTCCTGCTCAGCTCCCAGTTTCCCTCTCGTTCGCCAGGCAAGCTGGGAGGGGTGAATCCAACTGCGATTAGTCTGAAAGGCGCCCCATAAAAACAAGCTGGATTCTAACGAATAGCCCTGAGGCCGGGGTGCAGGAAGCGGAGGGCACTGACCCAAGCACACCCCTGTACCACATTCGCCGGACTAAAAGGCTTATGGTAATAGCTTCCTAACTGGTATCCCTGCTTCCATTCTCTCCGCCATCAGAGAATGCATCCGACAGCCAGCAGCTTAATTAATATTCCAAAGGCACAAACCTGATCCCTCAAGACTTGGCTCAAAAATCTCCATCGCCTACAAATAAAACTAACTACTTTATTATGCAGAGTATAAAACCCTCTACAATCCAGTTCCAGTTTAGCTTTCCACGTTTATTTTCCATTACATCCCCTTCAGGCTCTCTACCCCATAGCTCAGGCAGGCTATTCATCACTGTTTCCTGGCTGCATTTGCTTTTACCCACCCAACAGGGTCCCTTAACAGGGTCTCATTTCATCCAAGAGTGTTTAAAGCTTTCACTTCTTTTGGTACCCTACTCAGGGGCTGCCACCTCCACGAAGCTTTCCCTGATTTGATTTCCTCCTTCCTTGAATCTCTCATACCACTGTTTCCCTTCTCCATTTCAAGTTTCTGAGCTTTAGGATAGATCTACCTTTCCTCCTACCCCTCCCTTTGTACTTTTGTTGTTCAGTCTTGTCCCCTGATTCATAAGCCCATTTGGAGTTTTCTTGGCAAAGATATTGAAGTGATTTGCCATTTCTTCTCCAGCTCATTTTACAGATGAGGAAACGGAGGCAAACAGGGTTAAGTGACTTGCCCAGGGTCACACAGTTAGTTTCTGAGGCTTCATTTTAAATTATTAAGATGAGTCTTCCTGACTCAGGCCAGGCACTCTATCCATTGCAACACTTAGCTGCCCCTCCCTACACTTTAGTACACTGGCTTTGCAAACTGCCCAGACCAAAAACATTAATCACTCAGCAGCCAGTCTGTTGCTTTTGAGTCCCCTTGGCTGTCTTTGGGCCTTGGATGTCTCCAGGCTCTACTCTGGAAGCTTTTCTTGCTTGGTAGGAGCTGTCCAAGCTTGTGCTCCATTCACATGGCCTTTGAGAATCCAAGATCACCTCCACAAAAGAAATGGCATTAGAGGAGTCTCTAGGTTGTATTAGTTATTTGTGTACCTGCCACAGCTCTGCCCTTGATCCTCTGAACTTCTTCAGTCCACAAGCATTTGATAAGTAATTACTATGCATCTAGCACCCATGCCAAGCCCTGGAGATACAAAGAAAGGCAGAAAAGTCTCTGCCCTCAGGGTGCTTACATTGTAATGTCCTTTTATGTCTTATGTCTTTTTTCATCTTGTATCTGGTGTTTTTATAGCACAGTGCATGGAAGGCATCAAATACCTACTTGCTGAATTAAACAAGGAGGATGCCATCCTAAGATAGGTCAAGGGCAGGGAAAGAAGAAAGGCCAGTTACCTCTAGATTAGAAACCCCTCCCCCAGCATTACTTTGTCAGTGAGTGATTCCATCATTTGTGTGCTACCTCCAAGGGTGAAGACAGCAACCCCATCTACCCTTTCTTATTTAGTCCACAGCAGAACTACCCAATGTGCTGGGCACCTTCCTTTAGGTCATCGAATATTCCTTGGGTACCAGTGTAGCACTTGGTTTTCCATCTGTTATCCTTTGCTCCCCCTACATGACCCACCAGCCTTCTTTTCCAATCATACATTTCTTAGATCTTATCTTTTACACCACTCCTTTTACTATACAAATTAACTGACATAAAAGTGCTGCCGTCATGCAAGTGATTTTCACAGTAATTTTTAAAAATCTGTTTGCAAAGCACTTAGAAATATGTCAAAGTACTTCCCAAGGTAGTTAAGCCTCATTGCTCAGATGTCAGACCAGCTAGCTATTCCATTCCTGACTTTTCAGATCAGCACCACTTTTTTTGGGTAAGGAGAGGAAGAAGCCTTTCTCCAACCACATAAAAATCTTTCCCAGGAGGTGTCAAAGTAGATAGAGCACTGGCCTCGGCATCAGGAGGATCTAAGTTCAAATCCCACCTCAGACACTTGACATTGACTAGCTGTGTGACCCTGGGCAAGTCACTTAACCCTGACTGTCTCGAAAAAAAAATCTTTCCCAGGGAGCACATGAGCTCCTTCTTACTCTTACCAGCTCCTTGAAGGGTGCATTATCTGCTGGGTAGCTTATATGCCAATTGGGAAAACCTGTCTAGTAGTTAAACATCTTTCCTGAGGCCACCAAGGAAAACTGCCCTGTAAAGAAGACTCAAGTATTATGCCTCAACATCTCCATCACAGCAAAAGGTACAGGCTCCAATAGACTTATTAGGGCACTAATGGAGCTTTCAGGAAACAGATATTTCTTACCCAGCCTTCCTAGCCAAATTCACTGGTACTACAACCCTAAGCCAAAAATTCTAGAAACTAGAATCAGAGAATGGTCGAACTGGAAGGGCCGTTTGAAACTATCTACTTCACCCCCTCACTTTCCTTCTAGGAAGTCCTATCCCACTCCATGACGTAATTGTTCTCTGTGTCTAGAAGTTGCTTTTTATGAACTTACCTGAGCACCTCTGTCTCCTCTGGCTTCCTCCACCTCCCTCAGCCCCACCCTCCAGGTAGACTTTGTCTTCACTCTCTTTGTAACTACAGAGATTGGCAAAAAGTAGGTGCTTCATAGATGGCTGTTGAATTTAGTTGCCTAAGGTCATAGTTAAGCCTAGAACACCTGAGTGTCCTGGGCCAGTCCAGTGTTCTCTTGACATCACAGTATTTTCAGACGTCATGCCCAGAGCTTGCTGCTGGGGGGTGGGGGGTGGAATAGGTGGAAAAAGTTTGAAGGATTTGGGGTCTAAGAATATGGAGCAGAATTCCAATAATGCCTCTTCACTACCTGTGTGACTTAACTTGAATTCACTTAACTTTTCTGTGTCTCAATTTCTTTATTGTAAAATGAGCTGCTGGGCTCTAAATTTTCTTCTAGCTTTAAATTTATGGTTCTGGGGCCTGGCTGGCTGGATTTAGATGGCTGGGGGAGGGGAGGAGAGGAGAACCTAGGAAAAAAATACCTATCTATGCAGAAGATAGAGGAGGGGTTATAATCCCCATTTCTTTTATAGATAGAGGAATTGAAGGCCAGAGAGATAAAAGTGAATTGCCAAAGGTCCCATAACTTGTTAGGAGTAAAGTTGGTATTAAAATTTTGGACTCCCAACTCCTGGGCTGGTGTTCTGCCCACTTATGCCCATTCTCTCTCCACCTTTCCCTCACCCCATCTCCAATCTACTTGTCTAGAATGCTGATATACCAGCAACCACAAGCCAGGGTCATTTTTTCTAGTGTGGGATTAAAAATGAAATCAGTCATGTTTTGAGCAGTTGAAAGTCTTTCCTCTTATATTTGCATTTCTGCAGCAGGAAAATTCCCCCAGGCCCTTACTTCACCCACTGACTGGAACAATCTAAGAAGAGTCTATAAAACCCTCAGAGTAAGCTTTCTTCCTCTCTTGGAGAATCAAATGCAGGAAAATTTTCTGGGAACCACCTTTGCCTGAGGAGGCCTCATGCAAACTAGTTTAGCCTCTATTTAACTCCAGAAGCTGGAGTTAAAGACAGAGGAGGAAACAGAGTCACCTAGAGGTAAAGGGATTTGCCCCAGATCACACAGTAAATGGGCAAAGCATGACATCAAGTTTCCTGTTTCTAGAAATATGCCTTTTCCATTACATAAATGGATAGAAGAGGACTGCACCCACAAAATGGAAGAGGCAAATGCTAAAAGGTGTAATAGACAATGAATTAACATTAGTACCAAATGCACTAAATGGCATAGCATCTAAATTCTTAAAGGAAAAGTTTAATGAATTACAGAAGAAATAGAAAATTTTAAGAGGGGGGAACCTCAATTTATCCATTCTCAGACCTAGATAAATCTAACCATAAAACAAACAAGAAGGAAGTTGAATAGATAAATATAATTACAGAAAAGTTAACTATGATGAGAATATTCAATAGGAATAGAAAGGAGTATACCTATTCTAAGCTGTGTGTGGCACCTTCACCAAAAATGACCGTTCATAAAAACCTCACAAATAAATGCAGAAAAGCAGAGATATTAATTTTATCTTTTTCTGACCATGATACATTAAAAAATTACACTCAGTAAAGGGCCTTTGAATCATAGACTAAAAATTAATTGGAAACTAAATAATTTAATCCTAAAGAATGGGTCAAAGAATAAATCATTGAAACAATCATGATTTCATTAAAAATAATGACAACAATGAGCCAACATACCAAAATTTGTGGGATACAGTCAAATCAGCACTTAGGGGAAAATTTGTATCTCTAAACTCTTGCATCAATAAAAGGAAGAGTAGATCAGCAAATTAAGCATACAACTAAAAAAAATCTAGGGAAAAATAGATTAGAAGCAGGCTGGTTGATCCTAGAAAGGGGGGCAGAACCAGAATCAAGCTGAACCAGTAGTGCTTTTGGGGTTCATGAGCTTTGGGAAAGTTAGCTTTGCTGATCTCATCAGAGAGGGGAGGGCCTGAACCCATTGCTTAGCATTGGGAAACAGCTCAGATTGACACACAGAGATAGGGCCCTGGCCAAGTGACCCCATGATATTCAAAGCGAAGTCCAGTGCTTTCCAGAGGAGAATCAACAAGGAGCTAAGCACTCCCCCAGACTGCTGGGGACT